AAAATCAAATGACAGACATGTTAAATGTTAATTTCAGACCGTTTAAAAGATATGGGAAAGATCCAAAAGTGGGTGCCATATGAATTGAATGAAAGACAAATGGAAAACCGAAAAAACACTTGTAAAATTTTGTTTTAACGATTAAAGATTAATTATCACTGGCGATGAAATATTTATTTATTCCAAGAATCCTAAACGGAGAAAATCATGTGTTAACCCGGGACAACGATCAACATCGACAACAAAAACAGATCGATTCTTTCCCTTTTAAAATTAGTATTTCATTTTCAAAAAAAAAAAATTCATACCGGTATAATTATCAACGAGAACGTTTTTCAATCCGTAATAAGGACAACTCAAGCACTCATTGGAAATATCTTGTTATTTTTCTGAGATATTCATTTCGACTTTTTTTAAAAGGAATAGAATGGAAGCTCATTAACTTGTTTTAGCGAGCGAGGTTATTTGTGGTTGCAACGGCCAAATATATAGTATGGACAGCCAGCGTGACTTTTTTAGCTTGATATCGGCTGAATTTATGTTACATTTGGCTAACAAAACTAATAATACAATACCGTTTCAAAAACACACGGTTATATGTAACCACATTCTCCAAATCTATTTGGAGAGATCAACAACATATTTGAAATTTTGATGTACTTTTTTTAATTCGCATTATATTTTTTATTGATATTTGTAAAAGCAATACAAAACTTTTTAACTCAAATTGTTTTTATGAGACATTTATTAAACTAAACTTAACGACGAAAGTTTTACAAACATATATTAAAATCGTTTATTTGCAAATTGAAAGCTACACTAAGGATCATGGTATAAAACCTTTACGGCTATATTTTAATAAAACTAACTTATCAGTTCCACTTGCACAACTTTTTCCTACACAATTATAGGTATCAATAAAAAAAAATGCACATTAAAATTATATAAAATAATTTTACAAGAAAAATATCATATTCTTAACAGAAACACAAACAAAAACGATCAAAATCATGCCATAAGATCACACAATTTAATTTTTTACACCTACATATGTATGTTGGAGGAGATTCTTAAAACTAAAAAAATTAACTTACAAAAACCATTGTCTTATGATATATGTATATCCAAGACAACTTATACGTTTGGCAATACTTGAGATACGCGATAGAGAATTGTATGCTTGACGTGTACAAAACTTCGTTGCAACGTTTAAAAACGTACTCTCTACCAAATTACGAAAATATTTGTGTGTGCGGTTGCTAAAAAAAAACAATAATTTCGCACTATAAAATAAACATTGTAATGAAGTTATTAGTTATATGCATATATGTTTTTCTCGCTGTAACTAATACAGTTATAAGTTAATCTATACTGGCGTACTGGCACACATTTTCCCCCACATTTTAACTATGTGCATTTCTTGGCGCTTAATTGCTAAGCGATGCACTGCAATTGCTGTGCTACTGTGCTACTTTAACAAGAGCTACATATGTGTATGTGTATATAAAATTAAATCTACTTAAAATATTTAATATTTAAAAATTGAGAGTAAATGGAAGAACATTTAAGGAAGTCTTGTAAATTTTTAAAACCTACACTTTTAAAGCTTATGAAAATATGCGTTTTTTACAATCCACCAACCATCACGTTTCTGTACTTTATGGTTGCCACAGCGCAAGTGCCACTTGGGTGTTTAACGTTCGAGCAACTCAAACGCTAATTTTTTTGAAACACTTTCAAATTGCACACTTAATTAAATTATGATAATAATGAATAAGACTTATATGTATATATGCATATGTTTGTTATAAATATGTTTAGATCGGTCGAATTTGCGTGTGCTCATTAATCGGTGACACCCAAGTGTACTAATTGTTGCATGCAACGCTGTAAATATGTGGGATCGGGGAACATATTGAACTGAGTTTTGTGATCAACACTATTCCAAATGACCACGTCTTCACGCCCTGTGGTTACTGAACGGCCAATGGAAAAGAGAAGTCGTCTGTCAAAAGCGATTTTAAGGAATCGTAATACCTTGCGACCAAGCGGACAGTCAGGTAAATAGCAGACGCGCGGAAAACCAACGGCAAAGAATGCGCGACCTGGATGGGGATGTTCCTCAGTTTGTACACCAGATGCAATGCTGCAAATAAGTTTTATTTAATTCATTGTTGTGGTGGCAACTTAAAATGCAGGCGATCGCTTACTCGTAAACAATTTGTATGGTGTTTTGACGCTCATGGCCGGGTAAACTTTTACTAATAATACTCCACGACATGGTTCCGTTTGGTTGATTGCCAACTTTCTCGCCGTAAACAATGCCACACACTGGACACTCGATAAAGAGGTTCTAGAAATTAAAAGTGATGCATATAACAGCATTAATTGCAATCAATATATATTACATAGCTGGAATGCCACAACTTACTTTGGACATTTCACCTTGCTGTGATATAATCATGCCATTCAGGCATTGTAAATGCATTAAATGCTGGCAGCGCGTCAATGCTATGGTCGGGTTCTGTGCACTTTGCACTAGCTCTTCCATACACATGGGGCACGGTTGCGCGTTGGGCCACACCGGCGGTTCGGCAACCTTAACGAATCTTGATATCATATCGCTCGCCGGGTCCACGCCCACAATGGAGCCGGCAATGGTCGATTGTTGTGCTGATGACAGTAGATGTTGTTGAGATTGATGTTGCTTAGTGTTGTGAAGAGAGGCACCGACGGTTACAGAGCCTCCTGCTGTTCCAACAGAGGGCGCTAAATTTAGAGAACTCGCATGGTGCGGTAGGGGTGGGGGTGCTGGCGCACGTTCACCTAGAGAGGAGGGCGGCAGTGATGGTATAAAAACCTCATCACTGCCTAGCGAACAGTCTAGCAGATCGTTTACAGATATGGCGAAATTGCGACTACGAAGGCTTTCTTTGCTTTCGTGCGATAAATATGTGGAAACAGTGTCTACACTGGGGCGTCTTGTCGATTTTATACTGTTTGTGTCAGTGTCCGAAGCACGAGTGCGTGAACGTGATCGGTGCGATCCCAAACGGCTACTACGCTGTGATTGTAAGGAACCGTCTGAACAACGACTATGGTGGCTTTTCATAGACGCAGTCAGTGTTGTTTTCGAATGTGAAAATGGCATACTCAAGTGATTTACTGATGAAGTCACTGAATTATGTCCAAGTTGTGCCACATTGACATTGTTATTCAAATGGGGGCTGCTACTTTTTGTACTACTTCCGAATATGTTCAAGTTGTTTAGTATATGGCGCAAATTAGTGGTGGACATTTCTCCATTCTTCTTGTGTGACTTGTTGCGGTGTTGTGTATGCGCATGCGAACTAGCTTGTAGGTGAGAATTGCCATGATGGTGAATTAGTTGCTGTTGGTGATGGCCATGTTGAAGATGTTGACTGGAGATTGTTGCCATTGGAGGCAACGGCTGAGGTTGTCGACTGCCATGTGACATCGAAGACATTGCCAGTCCATTATTGTGAGATGTCATGCGCTGTTGCAGTTGTTTTGTGTCGCTTATTTTAGCAGATGTTTTCGGGAGGGTGTTGTTTCGTTTAGTACAAAAATCATTATAGAAATTCACTGCAATGATAGATGTATAAATAAAGTGAGTATCATTCATTATATATCTATTGCAATATTACCATTAAGCTGCTGTGCCTGTTGAGGCGTTAATTTGACAAGAGGGTATGGTGCCTGTTGTGTTCGGCGAATGCTACGTATTGGTCCATTCGGCTGACGAATTTGCGTTAGGTTACAAAAATTAATTACATAGGGTGCCCCAAATCTTGTATTGCATAGATCCAGCCGCTGTTCGCCCTAGAAATATTTAACAAATTTTAATTTCATCTCACACTAAATTTACAAAAATCTCACTTTAGACCAGGCATCTTCAATTATACATTGTAAGTGCATATTGAACGGATGCCAATCACCAGGCCCGGCGCTACCCAAACATTCCCATTTGGTACCCTTTCCAGGTGGAGAGCTGGGTACATAAAACATTCGGCGAACATTAATGGTGGAAAACCCAGAGTCTTCTTCCAACTCTTGAGTCATAGTCCTAATATTAACATAATATTGCTCAAGTTGTGGGTCGGCATCACTGAGAAGGACTCGTGTGAGCTTTTTGGCATGTGCCCGCTCCAAATGTTGAGAGACATCTTAATAAGAAATTAATATAATTACTAATCTATCAAATATATTATCATTTGTGCGTTTACCAGGACTGTAAGGTAGCCACTTGCTATTGCTGGATTCGTACTCCCACACGACTACTGCGTGGGTGTTCACGTTCGCATTTGTACCACCCCCACTTCCAGAACCAACACTTGCAACGCCTACACCGCTTCCACAACCACTAATACCTCCCCCACTCCCAACACCAACGCAACCGTGACCTGCCATTAGCGAAAGCTAACCGCAAAATCGGAGTCTATTTCTTATTTCACCGCTGCATAACCAATTCACTTAACAAAAAATGTTATGCTACTAAATTCACAATTTGTGTACCAAATATAATCCAAAAAGATCATTTATCCATTCGATATATCTGCTCCCAATTCACACACTAAATGTCGATCACAAAATAAACACAAAAATAAAAATGGTGGCTCTGGACTCACTTGCATTCGAAAGTAATCATTTTCTACTAATCAAATTGTTTGCTTTTCAACTGAAAGCGGATATCCAAAAATCATAGTTATCTACTCACTTTTTTTACAAATATATAAAGTTTTTGTATAAATATCATTTTATTACAATCAAATCAGTGTACAATCAGAGCAGATCAATTGATCCTAATTAAAATTATACGAAAACTACAAAAAGAATGAAAGGAAAAGGGTTCAAAAGAAAACTGTCAAAGTGATCTAGCAGAGAACGTCTCTGTCTAAGCTTACATTCCGCGACATCTAGTAGTCATAAATGCTTGTTTTGAATTGGGAATTTCGCCGAGAATGTTGACAGAGAACGTAAATGAATATTCATGAATATTCATTTACGTTCTCTGACGCACATACATAAGTTGGAAAAATTGCCTATTAAATGTTTATTTTACTATGAATTCTGGGGTTTTTACCGATAATACAGATTTTTAATTCAGAAGGCTTTTCATAATTATAAATTTGTCATATCATAGAAATTGAAAACATAAATCTAAATAGGTATGCGCAACGATTTTTCATATAGGAATATTCGTTGTGTCTATTTATAGCATTTCGCATATTGTGTGGTGTATTTTTCTTTTTCGAAGTTATATTTTTCGATGTTCCCTCATCTGGAACTACAAATTAGTACTCAAAAAGTTTTCAGTTAACATTTGCTCCTTCTCTATTCATCAACATTCTCTGGTATAAAGAATTGCAATAAATTATACAATTTAATAATTTATTCTTTCTTAAGTAAAATTTCTTAGAAAATTCCTGAGACGCGATTAGAATTAATTTAGTAAAACAGTTTTCATTGTTACTTACTTATTAACTTATAAATCTTTATCCAAATGATGTAGTTTCGTAGCATCATTATGTGAAACTCTATATCTGAAATAAAATAAGGAAATGTAGTCTTTCAATATGCAATAAATATATAGGCGGGAAAGAATATATACATACATATTATCCCCACAATAGAACTGAACTAAATGCAATATATTTTGTTAAATTAATACAATATTGTACGAAACGCCTTAATGGATTATGGTGTGCGAACGTGCCCCACTAATTTTACCAGAAGGTGTCGCTGTTGATTATTTATATGATTTGACATTTTAGTGACACCGACACGATTTCCGTTGTCTCGATTCCTTTACCTTTTTGACAGGCGGACGTAGAAGCAGCTCTTTTGTCGAGCCGCTATTAAAATCTGCTTTTTTCAATTACATCGCGTTTTTAAAAACAATCCAAAATGGTTGTAAAGAAGGTAAATAATAATGTGAGGTGAATTATTTAGTTGTGCACGAAATATGTAAAGTGTTAAAATGCTATGAATTACTGCAATTGTTGCAAGCAAATGTTTGTGTTTGTTAAATGTCGTTTTAAAAGTGATCTAATTTCCTCTTATAGCCTAGGCCAAAGAAGAAGCCAGTTACCAAAAAGGTTGCACCAGCACCATTGGCCGTGAAGAAGCCAGTAGTAAAGAAAGTGGTGAACCAACTTTTTGAGAAGCGCCCTAAGAACTTTGGCATTGGTGAGTTTACCGCATACATCAAAGTTGCCTTTTATAACTAATATTTATGTTTCTTTATAGGTCAGAATGTGCAGCCTAAACGGGATTTGTCTCGTTTCGTTAAATGGCCCAAATACATTCGTGTTCAGCGCCAAAAGGCTGTATTGCAAAAGCGTTTGAAGGTGCCACCACCAATTAACCAGTTTACGCAAACTCTGGATAAAACCACAGCAGTGAAGACATTCAAGTTGTTGGAAAAGTACCGCCCAGAGTCGGCTTTGGCTAAAAAGCAACGCTTGAAGAAAATTGCCGAAGCTAAAGCTAAGGGTAAAGATGTTCAACCCAAAAAGAAGCCTTCCTTCGTGCGTTCTGGTACAAACACCGTAACCAAGTTGGTTGAACAAAAGAAGGCCCAATTAGTTGTCATCGCTCACGATGTTGACCCCTTGGAGGTAAGTTGTGACAAATAAACATATGCCAACATTTAAAAATGATGTTAATTTGAATTTCTTCAACTGAAATTGTTCTTGTAATTAACAATTGAATGTGGAAACTTGACATGCTGATTAAGTGTTGGCTTTAGTTATTTGAGTAATGTTTACACAGCCATACATTAAATATAAATATGTATTTTTAAATTACAGTTGGTTCTGTTCCTTCCTGCACTTTGCCGTAAAATGGGTGTTCCCTATTGCATTGTTAAGGGCAAAGCCCGTCTTGGTTTGTTGGTACGCCGCAAGACCTGCACTGCTTTGGCGTTGACCAATGTGGAGGCCAACGATAAGGCGAACTTCGCTAAGATTCTGGAGGCCATCAAGACCAACTACAATGACCGCCATGATGAGATCCGTAAACACTGGGGTGGTGGTGTCCTGGGCTCTAAGAGTTTGGCTCGTATTGCTAAATTGGAACGTGCTAAGGCGCGTGAATTGGCACAAAAACAAGGCTAAACAGCTGATGGGTGTATCAGTTAAATGTTTTGAATTATGGGATTTTGTTAAGCATCGGGATGTGAAGACAAAATGAAAAAGTAAATAAAATAGTTTGTACTGAACTTCCATGAAGCAATATGTTTTATATAAAAATATATAGTTGGGTTAGAATTGGGGATAATAATTGTGGGTTGGTTCTAAATCTGTACACAAGATTAATATTTTAGAAGTCTGAAGACACCATAAACATTTATTGGAACTTAACAGGTATATGAAATTACCTGTAATTATAACTTAAACTTAAAAAAAGTCCAATGGGGCATCTTATAAGAATAAATGTGTCACAATTTCTTGAAAAACTAATAATTTTAAGTTATTTGAGAAAATGCATTCTTCTAGGTTGTATTTATTTCTTAACAATATATTGAGTTTTTTGAGACAGGCTCGTTCAAAAGTACTAGTTCTTCGAGAATATACAAACAAGAATCTAAATTGAATTACTCCAATATTAATTTAAAGAAATAACCAAAAGAAAATCGGATTATCCCAAACCCGATTTATGAATACCTACTCAAGCATATTCAGATCTTAAACTACATCACTATTTTGGTATCGGCAAACGGTATCGATTTTAGTAACCGGTCTTTTCACCTGTGATCGGGTTACTTTTGAATGCATCTCTGTGAATGTACCACAACAACAAAACAATAGATACGGAAGCGAATGCATTCAGTTGCGTATTTCACGGGAGTGTCTTACTTTTTTAAGTTATTTCTTTGATTTTTAATCAGGTATTAGAAAAAATAGAGTGTGAGTGAAAATAATCGAATTACTATAAAAAATAAGTGAAAAATTATATGGAAAAGTGCAAAAAATGAAAAGAAATTCGGTATGTGCTTTGCTAAATGTGTGTGAAAACGGACTGCTAAGCAGAAGGCGGCGAAGAGCAACACAAAGCAAAGCCAACCATTCGTTCATTCGGTGGCTGGAACCGTTCATCGTGGTTGGCAATTTGCATTTCGATTGAGTCGTACTTCGGGCTTTAATTTTTTTCTATTTACAACTAGACACGATACAAATAATGTAATAGAAACATAAGCGCTTTACGATAATTAGCACAACAAATAAATCAAAAAATATGTACATGGCTTCTGGTTTTCAGTAGGAACAGTACAAGACGTGCAAGAAAATACCCCTTTCTCTAAGTGCATTTACCTAGGTATATGTTGGTTCTCTAAAAATGGGTGTAGAGTTACCTTAGGATGAAATTCGCAATCTTATATTTTGTTCGTATTTTCACTTTTATTGTGGAGGAGGGTGCATAGAAAGTGGCAGTGAACTTTTATATAAATTAGTCAACTAGACAGTTTAGGGTTGATTGCATGTTGTTTGTTGGATCTATTTGCAATATAATGGACGACGAGCGAAGCGCAGCATCTGTGGTCACTTTGCAATCCATTATTGTGAGACTACGTGTGGGTGGATGTCAATAAAAAAGAAAGTAACTTTGTAAGAAGGTTTTGGCTGCTTTGTTATGACTTATGCGTGGCATATCATCTCTCTTATGTTTGCAGGCAAACATGTGTTTGTAACAGTATATGAGCACCTAAAACTGGATACAACACTTAGGTTGTTAAAAATATATTTTTGTTTAAGTGCTACATATCTATTTGAATAGATTGCAGCAATATGATGCACAGAGCGACATGCAAGAGATACAAGGCCAACAACAAGCACTGACATTGTAAATACTGTAACGATTTGCAAATAGTTTGTTACAGAAATAAATGAAATTTTTGGTTAATAATTCAAAAGCAAAAAAATAAAGATAATATCGCAACAAAAAATCCACGAAGATAGTAAAATGAGTGTATTTAATGATTTCCAACGATTGTGGATGCAACGTTTTCCACAGAGTTCACTATCAGATGCGTGGGAGCAAGATGTGAGAGCCAGCTTAGAACGACACAAGTTAAAAATTGTTGAGTTGACAAAAGAATTGGAGCAAGAACAACTTTATGTCGAATATTTGGAGCGCTTACTGTCAGACGTTGAAAAGTTTCGTGAATCTGGTGGAGATCCAACTTCTTTGTTCGAAGCTGCCACCACTTCTAATACAACACTGCAAGCCGATACTGATGCAAACCAGTTTAGTGGAGAGGATGCTTGTGCTATTAATATATCGGTAAGAATGTTTATTATACAAACTTCACTAATGTTAAATTAGGAAAATTTCAAAAAATGTGTAAATTCTAAATTGTTACTACAGTACCATTTTATGACCTCACAGTTAAAACGGACATATATGATATATATGAATCGGGTAAAGTTTAGTTAATAGTGCACAAGAATTCCTCAAGCTCAATACGTTTATGATTTTTATAAGAAACGTAGAGAACCTTAGTTGGATATGCATATCTGTTGACTTCTTGCAAACTCGAAATTTAAATCTAACGAGTATATTCACATATTAATCGTTATTTTTGAAATTATTCCTTTGGCGATATTTAAAAACTATATAATAAAAATCTAAAATAAATGAATTGCAATCCCCTACATAGTACATTCTATAAGATATAGTAACTCGTGGACAGCACTAGTCATTATTAGAAATTTGGGTTAATTAGGTCATGCCGAAACATTAACTTATTAATTATATTAAAAAAAATGTTTTTCTTACTCTAACCCTTGTTGAATTGAAGTAAACTGGCAAAACTAGGAAACCAGCAATTATTAGTAAGTGATTTATACAGAGAAATTTTTCTTATCAACATCAAGCACTTGTTTTCCTTTATATTGCTGAAACTACCATTTACTTAACCGAAGGCAAGGCAAAGTAAAAATGCAAAATTCAAAATAAAAGTAGTAAGTAAAAAACCACAATGCTAAAAATATAGCGTTGTTTAGCTCATATTTTTCGCTAAAAAGGTTAGTAAGAAGTTGTCGCAGTCGCGCACAAGCAGCAGAAGCGATGACCACAATGTAGTGGTATGTGTAAAGAAACAACAAGTACGGTGTGATTTGACGACAACGACAAATGAAAAATGGCAAAAGAAGTTTGTTATCTTATCACAGCAAACGCGTAAGCAGCTATCGCCCACCAGTGCCACAATCACGACACTCACTCAACAGTGGAGATCAGCCACCCGACGCTGCCCACACTTTATGCCACCACAAAAACGACTATTGTAGTAGTAGCGCAATAGTCTGCAACGTACGCGAAAGGCAAACACGGAGCGCGTATTTACAGAAAACGTTTCGATAGTTGTTAAGACACAAAGAACTTTTCCAAAAATACCAATACATAGCATATCACGAATCATTGGTCGTTTTATCTATCAGTAGGCACTAATCGCAAACACTTGCTCCTACAAAAGCGTATGGAAACGCACTCCTATTTGCTTAAGAGGCTTCCAGCACCACGGTGCGTTCTCCGTAGGTAGTGCTCCTAAAATTGGAAAACTTTACAAGGCTTTCAGTGCATTTGCAACTTGTGTCAGCTCGACAACGGGCAAAAACTAAAAAAAAAAGTGTAATGAAAACAAAAACTTGATTATGAAAACAACGTGACGTAGTAAGAAGTGAGAGAAATCCAGAAATTACGTAAAAGCGCGTGTTGCAACGACAACAGTGACTTTTAACTCACCAATTTAGTTTATGTTGAGGGGCGAAGTGCGTTGGGCAATGAAACTTGCATTGTCGCTGGACGTGTAATTGTGTGTGGGTGAATCGTGCGGTGCGCATCTACCACTCGAAACGAGAGAAATAAACACAAAGTGCAAAGCCAACTCCCTAATATTGCGGAAAACAAGAAACAGAAAGAAACCAATAAAAATAAAAGTTAAATAAAACATCTCATCGTAAACGCATACAAAGACAAAGACGGCTACTTTTAAATCATATACTAGTCATAGTGTTTGTACCGTGCAGCTGCTGCAATGTCATCCTTCAAGGAAAAATTTAAGCTATGGACAAGAGGGGTAAACTTTGAATCGATTCTTTCAAGGGAAAATAAATGTTAATGCTATCTTAGAATAAAAAAGATAATACATCAAGTGCTTGCAATGTAGAAGAGGGTATAAAAAGTAAAATCGTTTATAACAATACTTTTTGCAGTTCAAATAAAGTATCGTCTATAATACATGCACATTCATATGTATATATATATCTATATTTATTTCACTATCTTTGTTTTGAACGTAAAATATATGTAGGTACTTTGAAATATATGAGTGTGTGCTGATATACTGGCATGTATTTGTACGATATTCATAGGCGTTTCATCGCCAGTATCGGTATTTAGCCGCCACATTCAACCAGTCACTTGTTCGCTGTGTGAATCACAATAACGTTAGCATTTAATAAACGCCAATACTCGCTCACTCATTCATAGAATAGTTTGCATATTGCTTAATTGAGTAGTAATTCTCCGTGCGTTATGTCTTTATAATTAGATTTGGTCAAAGTAAGGATTCCTCATTGAACTGAAACTATTAATTTACACTCTGGTTATAAGGCGTGTTGACATAGGCCTCTGCTCTTTTAATTAGTGCAAGATTTCTTTTAAAATACTAAAGCTTATCATTCATTAACATTTATTGCATTGTTATTAACTTTGATGATTTTATACATCATCGTGTGCATTCATATATTATACTTACGTGTCTACATACATTTTGTATATGTGCATACATAAGTACTTAGCATGTATTTTTCGCTCCTTGTAAAAAGTAGTTATGTCATGCTCATTGAACAAAGTACATATACATATTTCATATGATCTTTATAGCCATTATTCCCACATACATCTATACATGCATTCCTATGCATATGTATATACTTAATAATACACGAATCTTTAATACTGAAAAACGGTTAGTAAGTTATAATAGTTAGCTATTCCCCGTACGAGCTGTCAATATCTATTGCATCTTAAACTCAAATTCGTGTGCTGCATTTAATAAAAATTTATTTTCAATTGACTTTCGTTTATTCCTCGTTATTTTGCTATGTTTTTAATTCCATACTTAATTTTATGCATAGTCGAATGCTATGGCAAATGTGTTGCTAGGTGCGCTGGGGGAACGCGTTAAATTTCTATGGTATATAAATCTCATATGAGGGCTTATTTGAAATTTTATTTGTTTACACTCCAATGCATAAGCTATCTTTTTAACTTGGCTTCTCATATCGGACACTATGGCCTAAGTGCAGCTGATAGCGTGCTACTATCTATCTATCCACTACGTTGCTTAGAGCACAGCAGAGTACGTGGAAACATATTCCAAAGCGTGAATCTTTTTTTATAAGTTAAAGCTGTGGACAAAGAGTCAACAACTTGTTGAAATGGAGAACTCAATTAAGTTAATTTTTTTTTGCTATTGTGTACACATACATATTCAAGTGTTATTGGACGAATTGGGGGTTCTACAAGGTTTAAGCCACCTGATAAGCTTATGTTAGATGAGACAAGATATAATCATTATCATTATCATCAAAACAAAGTTTAAATGTCTGCCTCATTTGTACAAATTTTCATGGTTATTGTTTTATAATAAATTAACAAAATGTTTGAAGTTTTTTTTAAATAAAATTTAATTTTCATACAAGTTAAATAATTTTATTCTATATTTTAAAAACTCTTGTTATGGAGGTCTTCACATGTGACGGCCTGTTTTTTAGGCATTTTTTTCTACGACCAGTAAATAAATAGTGCTTTAAGTTTACTATAATTTTTCAACATATATAACGTCAGTACAAATATAAAAATTAAGCTTCTTAGCACTTCCACTTCCTCCACGATTGGCTTATCTGAAAAAAAAATTAGCGGCGTTTTAATCTTTAAGCCTAAATGCACGGAATGGACTATTATCAAATAAAAATACCAAAAATTGGTCTACGAAAACAAATTGAAAAAAAATTGCCAATTTTCCCATTTTTTTTTTTTGGGTTTTTTGCAATAAAAAATATTTTGGGAATTTTTGGTTGATAATAATTCATTCCATGTGTTTACATGTGCTGCGTGTACCCTACATATTTCAAGTCAATCAGTTGAGCCGTTTTTGAGATACGACGTAGGAAAGTTTTGAGAAAAACACGTTTAAAGTTTCAAGTCCGAACAGCGAAAATGACTTCAAATTAAAAAAAAAAACTTTACATCCGTATTCTAGGCATGTTAAAAAAGCAATTAAAAAAAAATTCGATTTTTTATCCTCATCACATGAGATGACCCCCTTATGACTCTTCCTCCTTATTAAAGAATAAATTATTTTTACAAAATAGATGTTTTTAAATATTTTCGTTAATTACAATTTTGTTTTGCAGAAATCTAGTTTGAATTTACGTGAAGCCAGCCAGAATGATAACAAAGATAAAAACAACAGATATTCACTCAATACTGACAACAAATATGTTGAGGGTGTCGGCGGAAGTAGTATCAACACTAGTAGTATTTCCAAAATCACCTCCGGATCTGCTGAAACCCATGCCGGCAGCACTAAAAATGCCAGTGGAAAACAAAGTTTTGAACAAGAAGACAAAGATATGGGCACGGAAAAGGATACTCGTCAGCAAAACGAGAATGGTGCACTACATAAATGTATAAATGAGTTAGCTGCTTCGTTTGGAACCAATTCTACAACTAGCGATAGTGACGCGATTCGTCACGTACCATTGGAAGATATTGAGGAATCTGAAATAGCATCTTCTGGAGAAACTGTACAGAAACCATTAAAAACAAATACACAGAAGGCATCACACTTTGTTACTGTTATCGAGGTGAAAGAGAGCAAAACGAATATGGATGCCGAACTGGATAGTGGACTGGAAGGAGGTGAGTCAGTGCAGAGCACCACGACTCCAACTATGAGTAGTTTCGAACGTAAAACTTCAACTAAAGTTGAACCGACAGCACCACCATTGTCTCCTGCATTAACATCGCCATCAATGTCAGCTTCATCGTATGCAGCACATGCCGACAATAAAAAGAAAATGCCGCCAAGGTATGAATTATTTGCATTACACTAAATTAAAATTATTATCTTATATTTAAATTTTTCAGACCGCCTCCCAAGAATATTCGACGCGTCGAACCACCCACTATACCTGGCCAACTTTCGTCATCTCCAAAACGCGATACACCTTACATTGGTAGCAGTATGCCCTTACCTAGCGCATCTGGCAACTTATCCTCATCTGATAGTCCTGGCAATTCACTTGAACGCAATGTAAAACCTTCAGCTATTTTGCGGCAAAAATCACCAGAATCTATGGAAGCAAAGGCGCTTACATCCAACAGGAAAACGACATCGGATTTGGGGAAGTTTAATCCGCCTGATTTGATGGAAGAACTGGGACGTAAAGTTGGCAAATCGGAAAGTCTGGAAAAAACCAAGCGATCGGATATGGCAATAACACACAGCCCTACTGGCAGTTTGGGACGAACAGTTTCTATACAAAACCGAAACGTTACAGGCGGTCGTACCAGTAGCACTGCGGTGGGTGTATCGCCCACCGGAAGCTTGAATAAACCTTCGAAGTTAGCTGTAGCAGATAGTTCTTCAACAAATAGCTTGGAAAAGAAATCACATTATTCACTGCAAGCGGCTGACGGAGAAAATGGCCAAACTCAGGTTGTGGGCTCAAAGGAATCCCTGGCATCGCAAGGCATATCGGAAATTGTGAGTAAAAAATTGGTTGACTTTTGATCAATTTCTTATTTGTTATTGACGCATTTTTTTTACTAGATTAAAAGCTACGAGTCTGTTTCGTCTTTGGGTTCGGATTGTGCAAAAGTTGCAGTGGACAATGAACCGTATTATGACACAGTGCCGCTGGATAACGGCGAAGGTGAATATGTTTATATCAAACCAGGCGGTAACGGTTCATCGTCCAGTCGCGATGACCTCTCCACACCAGGCAGTACGCTTCCAATCGGTTCTGCCACACACCTAAGCAGTCAAGCGAGTGTGACAGACCCTGAATCACCTGGACGCAGCTCAAATTATGTGAACATTGATTATTTTCTACAGTAAGTGAAAAATACACAACCCTACTAACTATCCCATATCACAATAACAAAAAATATTATTTTGATGTAGTCAAAGCAATGAAACACGTTCAAGCTCGTTGGACAGCGATGGGGAGTATGAGGGACCACCAATCATGAGAACTATTTCTCATGACGAGCAAAATTCACAAACCCCTAGTGCTTTACGGAAGGTAATCATTTCTGTTCACATTCATTTTATAAAAATAGAAAGTTCACATTATATTTCGTCATACACACATATTTTTAATTACATACCGGGACATGCATTAGTTGTTATTAAAATATATGTTCCAAAAATATTCGTATATTGCTGCCATTTTAATTACTACTTAATTTTACAAGTATAGTTTAATACATGTTTAACCAATACTTACAAAAATAACGCTCATTCACCCTTTGTCTGTATATACACAAGCAATTCCAGTAAACAGTTCACAAGTTTAAACTTATGCAGACTTATTATGATTACCGCGCACGAAAATTATCTCGAAAAGTTACATTGCAAACAATTAATTTCTTTGCGTTGTAATTTATAGGAATAATTTCATCAAAGACATACTCGGTTCAGTCTTTACTTTTCTATTTAAAGCTACTAACGTGAATATAACATCCCACACATACATTTTTTGATCTCGTATTTTTGGAACATATACTGTACTAAAATTTAAATATTTAAACATTTGAACATTTAATCTTTACACTTACTAACTGTCTATTTACCATTCTATTTCTAAAATTTTTTTCCCAACAGAATTTAGTTTCAGCAATACTAGTGAGTATTTTATGTGTACAATTTTGATTATAGCCGTAATATAGCTTATATACACAATTAATTTCGCTTTCTCACTTGAAAAACAAATCAATAACAGAATCATATGATTTAGTGATGTGGCATTTTCAAAAATAGTACTAACTAAAATGTTTAAATTAAAATTAGCAAATCACTCTCGAATGGTTCAGATTACAGTTAATATTAAATGCATTTCATTTATTAATAAAATTGATTCCAAAGAGTTGGTGAGAGCTGTTGACTATGTCGGTAATACGAAACTTGCTCTACACTTTTCCAGGTTTCTGGCAACGCGCGAGGCGCTAAAATACGCTCTATATTGAGCAGTATTATTCAAAGTGAAACAATATACGTGGAATGCCTCAACAAAATGCTACAGGTGTGTATATATCTTTACGAAATTAAAATATAACCACATTAATTATTATTTTTCACAGTATAAGAGAGCAATTCATGCCACACTGGGCACATCACAGCCTGTGATCAAGGAGGACGAAGAGAATACGATATTTTTTAAAATCGACGAACTTTATGATGTGCATACACAGTTTCTAAACAATTTGAAAACGATAGCGGCACACGAAGGAGGAGACGTGCTTATCGGTGAACCTTTCAAACGTCTCGCAGACAGTTTTAATTTGTATAGCGCTTTCCTGCACAACTACGGTCAGGCAATTGATACAGTGAAAAAGTGCAGCGCTAATAACCCACAATTCAAACAAATTGTCTCAACGATTGTCGTGAATTTGCACACCGAACAGTCGCTTACCCTGGAGGATTTGTTGCATAAGCCCGTGGCGCGTGTACAAATCAATGCATTAGTTTTCAATGACTTGTTGCGCGAAACACCACCCAATCATCCGGATCATCAGCCATTGCGACAGGCACAGAAGACCATACACTTGTTCTTGAAGCAGTTCAATGTGGTGAACCAGCGTTTGTCTACGGAATCGAATAAGAATCTGAGACGCATGGTGAAGAATTCTTTCATTGTTGAACTGGTTGATGGGCATCGCAAATTGCGACATCTCTTCTTGTTCAACGATGTAATCGCCTGTGCCAAGTACAAGGCATCCGGACGTGACCGAATTGACTATGAGCTGAAATGGTTCATACCGCTAAAAGATGTTGTGGTGTTCGAAGAGGCAGACGCCAGTGCTGACCTCAAGGAATCTAGTCCCGCCAATATATTACAATTGAAAACGCAAGCGTGCACAGTACGTGATCAATTATTGCTCGAAGAGAAGGACGATAAAGGACGAAAGTCCAATGGCTTGCGTTCGGGTGATAAATATCGGCGCAAATTAGCTGACTTAGAGTCGCAGCTGGTATTGGCCTCGCCGAATTTAGTCTTCCGCATTGCCAATAAAGCAACCAATAAAACAATAACATTTTTCTTGAGTTCGGATTTCGAGCGCACGCAGTGGATTGAATCTATACTGTCGCTGAAGGTTAGCAAAGTATTAATGTACTCGTTTTTATACATTTTAAATTTGGCTTTTCTTTTTTTCTATGGCATTCTAGCAAACCTGTAACATACCTGGTGCGAACACGATAAACGCCTTGGAGGTGCATGCTTTTATTGTTGCCATGCAGAAAGGTATGAAGACTGAAATGGGTTCATATCTGATGCGAAATACCAATGACGAAAGTCTACTAGTGGGCGATCTGCATATGACAGTGCACGGTCTGACGGGTCTTGACCAGCCTGCCGACTTGTATATTTGCATAGAAGTGGATTCGTATGGCCACTATTTCCGTAAAGCCACCACGAAAATGGTGTGTCGCAGCTTGAGTCCACTTTGGAATGAAAGTTTTGTATTAGAGCTTGAGGGCAGCCAGAATGTGCGAATTTTGTTGTATGAAGCGCATGAACGTCCTAAGTTACGAGCTAAGCACGTCTTAAAAGTAAGTCATAAAAGCTTTACATTATTCAGTAAATTTACTTCATATACATATTTGCTTCCAACCTCATTACAGCTTAGTCGTAGTTGGCTGCAGGAGACACCACTTCCGCGCATACTAAAACTTGGCGAGATCATAACGCTGAATACCACATTCCGGTTCGTACCCGGCGAAGTGACTTTACGGCGTGTGCCAACTTCGAAGCCGGGCGCGCTCTTTGGTGCCAAAATGAGTCAAATTTTAAAGTAAGTATTTCAGAAGCACTGCGCTTAGTATATTACTCAGTATAATGATTTCGTATTAACACAGGCGTGAGAAACGAGACATTCCATTCATTATCAGTGCCTGCATACGTGAAGTAGAACGACGCGGCATGTCTGAAGTGGGCATTTATCGCGTTAGTGGCTCTGCTTCCGATTTGGCCAAATTGAAGAAGTCTTTCGAAACCAGTATGTGATCTATAATACCAATTTTATTGAAAATTAATGCTAATTCTTTTTTGTTTTCTGCTAAGATGCCTATGAGGCCGAACAGCTGCTGAAGGATGTGGATATACACTCAGTTACGGGTATTTTGAAGTCATATCTGCGAGAGTTACCCGAGGCATTATTTACCGATGCTCTCTATCCGAAATTTTTTGAAACGTTCAGCGCTTTCAGCAACAACAACGAGACGGCGCGTATAAATGAACTTATAAAAGTATTCGAAGAATTGCCACAGGCGAATAAAGCATCTATAAATCATATATTGGATCACCTAATTCGGTAGGCAGTCATTTTGAAAACAATATTTAAACATAGAATGGTAGAAGCAAAATGGTTTTCTCAATTCAATAATTTTTTACGTCGTCCAATTTTAGGGTACATCATCAGGAGGCCGACAACAAAATGTCGCTGCATAATTTAGCTATGGTGTTCGGTCCAACGTTACTACGGCCCGGTCAAACGCAAGCTAAACAGAAGGACTTGCTAGCCTCCAGTACCGTAGATGTCATGGCCCAAGCGGGCATACTATATTGCTTCCTGCAGGCGCGTATTAAAAAGGATTAAAATTTTAATGTATAAGCAAAGTGAAAGTGACTAATCAGAAATATTGTAAAATGCATATATTTTTGTAGCAAGCAAAGGGCCTTTGTATGCATACGCATAACCTGCGTGAGAGAAATTATTCTTATAACTACGTAGCTTCCATTGTATTTATACAGGCACATGCAAAATATTGTAGAGCAAACGTCGACAGTTCGCTGTTGCGCAACAAGTTGATTGCGCAGATTGGGAAAGAAGCGGATGAGTTTACGAAATACATATTGTAAAAAACAAAATCAAAGAAATTAACATTGCAATTGTATGGCGCATAAAAGTTTCCCTAGAGTGTATGCAGAAAGAGAGAATTTTTTGCAGACGTGTGCCGAAAAATATAATTTTTATAGTCGATACATATACAATATTAACAAAAGAAACAAAACAGAGCAAAAGTATTGATTTAAACGCACTCTAATAATGCTGGAAGTATCGAAATATTATAAATATATCTATCTACACTGCTCCATACCATAGATTTGCACAGCTTGTATTATCACGGAAGCTTATTAAAAGTTAGGCAAAATTTAAAATTTTGTCAGTTTACAAAAACAATACAATAGAACATATACACATTAATACTTAAACAAAAACATATTTAGCTGCTCAGTAAGCGTTTCGCAATGTTTATGAAGTATTACTAATAATTTTCATTATAAAAACAAAAAAAAAAACAATAACGCTGGAATCCTGTTATTTACCACTGTGTAAATGATAAATGATCATGATGTTGAAGTAGCGTAATTTGAGGAAATTTGGAAATTTAACGTTAACTTTGCTATCCCAAAATATCCATAAATATAGCAGATGATTCGGCATGTATTACTGATTTCAATTATCTTCGTGTGCTCCATATTATAAATTCTTATTTCATTTCTCTATGCCGAAAATATTAAGTTTCCACAATTAAAATGTATTTTGCAGTGCTTCGTTTCTTTTGCATTGTTAATTTTAGTATTTGAATTAAGTTAAATAAGTTTTTAACCGGTCAATGAAGTTGATTTCTAAAACCATGTTGTTATTTATTATGTTTCCATAATAAAATTGAAATCCCACATAAGTTGGGTCTACACGAGTAAACGGGGGATATGTAGCCGGTCAGACTTGTCACCTCAACAGCATTTCTCTATTTTATGCTGTTACAACAACAGCAACAACAATAGTAATTGTAAACGTATTTAAAACAGCGATCTGAACAGTTGCCATATTAGGTTGTTTAAATACTTCAAAGCCAATGTGTGTGTACATTTCGGCACTACCGTTAATTTTCCTTTATCCTTAATACTGCTTTTCAACTAAACACTTCCACTTTTCCGGCAATCATCTAGCGTTATTAGTTTCAATAATATTTAAGCAATGAATGTACTACAATGACTTAGTCTGTGGTCGCTTACATTTACCTTATTATGATTACTTATCGACCCTTTTGAAAGGATGCGAAGAAATACATTAATTCAAAATAAATAAACAAATGACGTAGGCTAAAACAATTTAATTTATTTTTTACCTGTATGTAAAATTATATAATGCTTATTTACTTTATAGTTTATCTAAATACGAATATATGTATTTTGTAGTGCAGTTATACAAAAACAAATATATTATGATTAAACATACTTATTAAAGTTATTTAATTGTGAATTGTATTCTCTTCTGTTTATTCGTCATCTTCGCCAGCATCCGCCAAATGTTCGGCAGTACTGAACACAGATTTTCTACTTCGTTTGGCATTATTTGTACTAGCATAGAACTCAGTTGCGGTACGTTTGCGTATTTCTTCCACGTCGTCGTCATTGAGCGATGCCCATTCCAGCACCAATCGTCTGCCGTATAAATGCGTACTTTGGCTAAGCGCTTCGTATGCCTTTTTGGCGTCACTTTTTGTGATGAAATCTACAAAACCGAAACCACGATGTGAGTCTGCGCCCGGCGTCATTTTCTTTGGTAAACGCACAGAACGCAGTTCACCAAATGCCCTATGGAATAATGAAACGATTTCATTACAGTAATCGTATTTATGCAAATGTTTGTTATTCTTACTTGAAGATCTCGCGGACTTCCTTTTCTTTCGCCTGGAACGGTATATTACGTACAAGCATTTTTGTGCCTGTTTGCTGTGTTTTCACTAAATGTTTACGAGGCACATTAGACGAAGTTCTAAATATAAAAATAAAACATTAGAAAATGGCTGTTAAGTTATAAACATCGCGTATTACTTACTTTAGTGTCCGATCGCTGCGTTTCAGTTCCACCTGATTGTCGTCTATTTGTGTGAATTGCATTTGCTTTAATGCTTTCTCTGTTGTTGCAGCCAACTTAAATTGTATGAAACCATAACCCATGGACACTTGAATACGTGGATTCCTAGGATCTTTCCGCTTTGCTATTTCTACAGTGTGTATTGGTCCTAAATGTTTGAAATGATTGTGTATCGTATCTGGGACGGTCTTGAAATTCAAATTACGAAGAAAGAGTGTTGTATTTGGTTCTGGGTCTTCCTCCATTAAATCTTCCTCAATATTAGAGTTGTCATCTTCAATTGTTCTGTTTTCAAGGTTTTCATCGCCATTTAATTGTGTTGTTGGTTGAGTTTTTAATGCTTCCTGTGTTATGGTTTCATTATGACTGCTGACTTCTTCCTCTTGTTTTGGAATTATAGGTTCTCCATTTAACGTTGTTGTGAAAGTTTGTTCCGGCGCCCACTCCAAGTATAATGGTACATTTTTGAATTTGCTATACGCTAATTTTTTGAAAGCCTGCTTTGCCTCTGATGGGTCACAAAACTCTATCAGTGCGGTGACACCACTGGGAGGCAAAATGAGTCGCCCGATTGGGCCAAATTTCGCGAATATTGGCGTTAATTCTGTCACTGTCGTATCAGCTGGTAAATTTTTCGCTAAGATAATTGTTTTAGAACGCTTCACTGCAGGCGCATCAAAAACACTTAGCCGCACTCCATTCTCTTCTAGGAAGTTTTTCATTTCAATGACAATTTGTGTTTCTCCTAAGGCAATACGTACCGCCGCACTGGAACCGCCTTCACTTGTGTCTAAAACCTGTGTAAATAAAATAAGAAGAAGAAAAAACAACATAAGAGGAAATTAAAAATTATTGTGATATAAATAAGCATATGTTACCTTTTCTTTAGTTGTGGAGAAACGTTTAGCTAAAATTTCCGCCACCGCATTTGCACCTAAAAACAAAGTATTCCAATTCACAGACTGCTGCGCTGATTTCTTCAGCTTTAAAGCTTTCTTTTGTTTAAACGACAGAGCTGCGTCGTTTTCATCACTTTTTGGGTCGTCATCCCTGCTTTTTCCTGGTATTAGATGCAACAGCCGACCGTGAAAATCGGAGCCATCCAATTTGTTGAAAGCTTGCAAGGCATGTTCTGGCATAACAAATGTCACTGTGCCAAAACCCTTTATTTGACGAGTTATACTATCTACGGGCACATTTATTTCGGCAATGGGTCCGAATTTCTCAAATAAAGTTTGAAGATCATCTTCTGTAACTGTGTAAGCCAAGTTACGGAAGAAAATGCGACCCGATTCAACAATTCCTTCTTCATTTTGTGTACTCTGTTCTTGCTGAGCCCATTTCGGCTTTGTCGGTTTTAATTTATGAAGGTCCGTTGTTTTCTCTCCCTTCTCTCCTTTCGATTTTGTTATTTTGTTTTTCTCGGTGAAATCGGAAAAAAACACTTGTTTTCCTTTTATGAAACTTTTATTTTTAAGCATAGCTTTTACCATTTCCTTTTCCGTTTTGAAGCCGACGTAACAGAATCCATGAACATTTGTAGGTAGCCGTACAGAGTATGGTTTTAACGGTTTAAAAAATTTTAAGATCTCTTGGCGTTTGGCCTTGTAAGGAACATTATGCATTTTAATAGTAAACAAATCAAGCCCGGTATTTGTTTTCCCTTTTTTATGTTCTGCGTTCGTCGATTTTGCCATAAGGTTTTTCATGTAATCAAGATCACTGATTGGCTTCTCTGCTAATTTTTCTTCATCTTCATTACTGTTCTCAACTTCGCATTCAACATATTCTATTTTTTTTGCTTCTTTAGGGATTTCCTCCTCACTTGTATTTTCAACTTGCTCGGTAGGTTGCAAAGATTCTCCGGCATCATTTGCCCATAAAGTACGTTTCTTATCGTGCGCACTCATGAATTCTTGAAAATCAGGATCATCCTTATGTTTACCTATAATTTCATCTACCACATTTGAAGTTTTTTTTCTATTAGTTTTTTCATCTTTATCTTTTTGTAATTCTTCCTGCATAGTCTGTGTCTCAACTTTTCGAGCATTTTTGCTACGTGCTAGCGGCTTATCCTCACTGCCAAGTGCAGCACACACCTCGACTTTGATACGGCTTGTTTGTATACATGTGTTATTGAAGTATTTTATAGCTTCTTGCGCCTCTTCTTCACTACGATATCCGATAAAGCAGAACTGGCGGAATTTTCCATCTGGTGTATATTTGAGCTGCATATCCGTGATTGTCCCCTTCGTACCAAAGATAGTGCGCAGCTTTTCTTCGCTGATCTAACATTGCATTTACATTACATGATGTACATACTCATTTAATATCTTATTGCATACTCACATTCTTTGGTAACTGCTTTACTATAATTCGTGACATATTTTCTTCAGATCTCAAATCAAATATTTTAATTTAAAAGTACAAGTAAAACAAGCAAAAACCGCATTGTTTATATTATGCACCGCACGTGAAATGAAATGTCAAAAAATAATGCTGCCAATACTCTTGTTTAAGATTAATTGTATAATGGATGAACGAGACTCTCCTACGATTGGAGAAGAATTGGATATTATCCTTTTGGTCTTAAATAAGACATTTCATATCTATACAGATTTTTTTAATCATACGAAAGTACATAGAAGAATATTTGTAGTTTGTATTATTTGAAAAAAAATACGATATTTGGACGGTTGTAATAGCAACCCTTTACACAGCTGATTACAAAATTTTGATTTGACAGAAAAAAGCTCGCGAAAGAAAAAATAATACGAAGTACGAAATTATATTCGAGACTAAATTGTGTGTTTATTTAAAGAACTAATTAAAACCCTTAAAGCCTGCTGAGGCCAATATTATATCCAGGATTTGGGGAACTCGTCCACATTTTGAAAATAATTGTTAAGGCTTATTGGATAATAACAACAATCACGTCATTCCGAATCGTAAGGATTCTAATGGTAACGTCACAATAGAAGAAGTTAAATAATAAATTTTATATTAATGCTTTGAAAAGAAAAGAAACGCTACGCAATAAAAAGCCGAAACAAATATTTTAATGTCACTTTCGCTATTGCGATGTCTAAATCGGGGGGGAGGAGGGGTGTTAAATGTCACTAATAACGCTACTAAGCTATCACTGCCACCATCGTCGTCAACGCCAATCGTGGGTGTTTCGAGCACAGCACATTATTCGCGACGTAGTGACCCCAAAAACCTTGATAGCGTTTTCAAGGTGGTAAAGTCTAAGGCGCGTGTTGAAGGTGATATTAAAATGCGAAAGAAATATCTCAATAACAACATACAAGTCTTTATTTCTTTTAGATGACTCTGACTTTCTTGGTGGCGAATGTGGACCGAATTGGGAATTGCTTGCTCCTCGGGGGAATCGCTTTTATTTTCCCAACGCAGTTGGACCAGCGTGGCAAGGTGCGTCAACAACCATCAATTTAGAAGCACCACTGGAGTCGATTGTCGCTTTCGATGGAAAGGTAACACTCTGTGAATATATCCATTTAGACACTAAAATGTAACTTGAATTGAAATCTTTTTTAGAATGCAAACAAAACTATGCTACAATTTACTGTCGGTGAATGCCCCTCACTAATAAGAAAGTCATTACACGAACTTTTTCCGGCTCCTGAGGTAGTTTCCAGTGAGAAATTAGCATTAATGACATTGCGTTTTTCAGGCGATAATGAGCAAGGAGCAAGAAAGGTAATTATAATTATGATTATTATTATTAAAATGCTGAAATCGCATAACGTTTAATCAGTTTGTTTTGGCGGCACGCGAAATTACCTCAAGGCTTCGCTTGCATGGGTATTGGGCTGATTTTATGAATCCATTCAGCGGCAAGCCTTTTTATTCTTGGGCAAACGGCAAAAATCTGTATAAAGTTGACGAACGATTTAGAGGGATTAATATGAAGTTGATAAAAAAGAATCACTGCACTGTAATCAGCACCGAAGACGGCGATGCTACATTTTCTGGAGTCATATACACGAATGCGCCATGTGATTATTTGCAAATTAAATCACTTATTGACGAACAGGTATAGCAGGCTAACATTGCCCTAGTAAATTATAAATTCAAAATTGTTATAAGTTTCATTAAAAGAAATAAAATTTTGTTTTAATGAAATTTTTTTGATGTTTTGTTATTTAAACGTATAATTCCCATATTGTTTAAGCGTTCACAGTTTTCGCGTACCGAAGTTTATAAATTTATGAGCGCCTGTATTAAGTGATTATTTTGTAGCCACTTTTTCGCAATGTCTTTCTATTTCCTTCAACTTATTAATTAGTAATTGCATTTCCTCAGTGCTACATACGAATTCGACAATAGTTTCTCGCTCTCCATTGGTTTCATTATGACGACCAAAATTTACATGAAAACTCACTTCGCCTGAACTACAATCAGAAGTAGATGAGCGAACATCCGCCATAATGCGCCATTGTACATCAGTAATATGTGGAAAATCACTGCCTATTTGCAATTGACGAATGGTTAGCTCTTTTCGATGATCCTCATAGGTGCGTACCAATTCCTCTAATATGGTTATTTGGATTTCACATTTTTCCAAAAATGATCGCAAAATCCCAGCATCAATTCCGTGTTTGGTAGCTAGCGCTAGTAATGTTACTACAGCATATTCACTAAGTCTCGCTTTATCTGCATTCGTAACGTAGATATCTGGTACTGAAGGAACACCTTTATGAGAGGAAACATTCCGTAAATGCTGTTGAATTTAAGCTAATACATACTTACTTGCTTCAGAAGAAAGTGTATGTTTCAGTGTGTTTGCTATAAGCTTTTTCGAAATGTCTATATTTATTTCTGTGCCCAACTGCTGAAGACCCTTCATCACAGGATCAGAAAGATTAAGAGTCATTTTTGTTCAGTAATATTTGTTTTTCTAAATTCCACCTTCAGTGCTAGTTTTATCACTGAGTTGTTTTTACATATCTTTGATTCATTTTTATCATGACGTATAGAAATGATACACCGACTTGAAACACATGTTATCGATGTTAAAATCGATAATTAAGAAATTCAAAATTATCTGATAATGTTTAAAGGAGAAACAAGTGTGCCAGAGTTCAGTTTAGTTTAAATCTCATGATTTTAAAAGATAATGAAGTTCATAAATTGATGTATTAGAAATGAATGTATATTTACGCAAAATAAGGCAGGAAAGTGAACAATGTGCATATGATTCTAGGCACATGTGCATATATATATATATATATACGTACGTACAGAGATCAGCACATGCATGAAGTGTATTTGTAGTACGTAAGAGTTTGTCTACTTTTATTGTTTAGCAGTGCACAGAATAAACAGATCTAGTGTTCTATAAAATGGTTTTGACCATCACGTCGCCATTGCTGCAAGCATGCTGCAAGTATGTGTTTCGAACTCCGCTTCGTAACTTCAGAAGACTCGTCGACGTTCATCCGAGAGTGCAACGATCGCTTAAGCAAGGAGAAGCCGTTGTTGCCTTAGAATCGACGATCATTACACATGGCATGCCTTATCCACAAAATATTGAAACAGCGCAGTCGGTGGAACAGCTTGTTTCTGAAAATGGTGCGTTAGCAGCAACAATTGCAATAATCAATGGTCGAATAAAGGTAGGTCTTACATCAGAGGAAATGGAAAAAATAGCAAAAAAAAATCGTAATGAGATAATGAAAATTTCAAGACGAGATTTACCTTATTTGGTAGCTACGAGAGGAAGTGGTGGCACAACTGTAGCAGCTACAATGATTATAGCCCACATGTTAGGAATAGATATATTTGCTACTGGAGGTGTTGGTGGAGTTCACCGCGATGGACATGTTACATTGGATATATCAGCAGATCTGGTGGAGTTAGGTCGAACACCAGTCACGGTAGTGTCAAGTGGAATAAAATCTATATTGGATATACCTCGAACTCTTGAGTATTTAGAGACCCAAGGGGTATGTGTTGCGACTTATGGAGTTGATGATTGCACTTTTCCTGATTTCTATACACGCAATAGTGGATGCAAGGTTCCATACAACCTAAATGGGCCACTGGAAGCGGCTAACCTAATAAAAGCTTTGAAGGAGTTAGATCTAAAGTCAGGAATTTTGATCGGTGTACCTGTACCAGAGCAATTTGCAGCAAATAAAGATATGATTGTAGCGGCAATTGAAGAGGCAACGCGTGAAGCAAAAATTCAGGGAATTAGTGGCAAGCAAGTAACGCCATATTTGTTGGCGGCAATAGCTAAAATAACACAGGGTAGAAGTCTAGATGCAAATATTGCGTTGATTGAAAACAATGCATGTGTTGCTGCTCAAATATCGCGTGAATTATCCAAGCAAAGTAAAAGTTATATATTTGGAGGTGAATCTGTGCCTGAATCCGTCTCCACACCCCTAGTGATTGGTGCCTCAATTTTAGATCTCTCATTAACAATGGTCGATGAAATTCCAAAAGTCCTTGACGGAGCTACGTATAGTGCAAAGCCAACCGAATCAGCGGGTGGTGTTGGGCGAAACATTGCCGAGGGTATTTTTAAATTGTATGGCACAGCAAACTTTATTTCCATTGTTGGTGACGACCAACTCGGAAGAAGCTTATTGAAAATGATTCCAAAGCCATTGAGAAATTCTGTAATGGTGGATGAAGAATGTGCTACTTCCCTCTGCACTCTACTTTTTGATAAAACTGGTGACTGCAAAATCATTTTAGGAAATATGGATATTCATCGTAAAATTACAGCAGAGATTATACAACGACATGAGGAGTTGATAAGTTCCGCTCCCATAATTGTAATAGATAGCAATCTCTCGTTTGAAGCAATGGCATGTGCTCTGCGTCTTGCTCAAAAACATCGGCGACCGGTGTTTTTTGAACCAACCGATATGCGAATTGCTCACAAGCCGTTTACTCTACCCAGGAATCTCGCAGAACAGATTCGAATTATATCGCCAAATATTTATGAATTGCATACTATTGTAGAAGCGATCACTGGTAATCCAGTTCGTAGTAAAGTCAACAATAGTGATCCAACAGAAATTTTACTGGAGAAAGCCAAATATATGCTGACACTTGTCCAAGATAATTTCGATTGTATCATTCTAACGCTCGGACAACAAGGCGTATTACTTAGTCTGAATGGCAATTTAGCGGCATCCGGTAAACCATTGTTTGATGTAAAGACTGGTTCTTATTTACCCATCACGAAAAATGCCGAAAAGGTTCACGCACTACGGTTTTACAAGGCACCTAAAGTGGAAAACATTAAAAATGTGTCAGGGGCAGGTGATAGTTTTACAAGTGGTTACATAACAGCACTTTTACGAGGCTATGACATGAAAAAATGTGTAGCGTTGGGATTTCTGGCGGCAGAACGGGCTCTGCAATCACGTGCCGCAGTACCGTTACGCTATTTCAGTGATGATATTGAAGAAACTGCTAGCTTGGAAATAGCTATAAAGAACCTCAAGGAAACGTCTTTGTAAGTCTACGTTATTAGTTAATATATATGGGAACTATATTTTTATGCCTATATAAAAAATTAACTCTAATTTATATAATCACATTTATATCAATATATAAAAAATGTACATATCAATCTTTTAAAGAAAATTTATGGGATTACATTCATATATAATTTGGAATGCATACTTTTTAATTCATCCAAGAATATGTGTAAGTGCATTGTTAATGAGAGATATAGCTATATATGTAAATTAAAATCATTTTTGAAACAACATTATTGATTTTATATAAGAAAAAGGTTGACAATCTTTTTATTTGGTTTATTTATTTAAAACGTTAATTTTTTAATAGAAACTGCATTTGTAATGAAATACGAATACTTCTTTTAAGACTATTTTTACACATTATATAACTCCTCTGAATGTATCCTAATAAGCCCATCTGTAACAAATAATACAAATTTATTAAGTCTAAAGTAACAATAATAAAATATGCGTCCAATGAAAAACTGTCAATATTTGAGAAATAGTTTTCTTTAAACTTACAATTTCACCACCTTATCCTTGCCACCAGATGCCACGCGTGTTCCGTCTGGAGCCCAATCTACAGCGAAAACCTCATCTGCATGTCCCGGCAATTCTTGTGCCAATTTTTTCGTTTGAACGCTCCATACTTTCAGAGTTGAATCTTTACTACCACTCACCAGCAAACGTGAGTCTGCTGACCATGCCAGTGTATAAGACGCCTGAACATGCCCTCTGAATGTAGTTATAAATTTGCCATCTTGACCGCGCCATAATCGAATAGACTTGTCGAAAGAGGCAGATGCAATGAGCTTCACATCAGGTGAGTATTTAACATCATTGACTACATTTTGATGACCCGTCATTCGTTCTACACATTTATTTTGATTCGAACGCCACAGATAAAGCGTGAAATCATCAGAACACGATACTAAGGATTCAACACCATCGGGACAAACATGATTGTATCTTTGCAAAGCCATTTCTTTCAATTCATTCTCTAAAAATATAACATGACACATATTAAACATTTATATGTATGTTACGAAGTTTTTTTAAGATACTGATTCTACTACTTACTTTCAATTTCTGAATATTTCTTTTTACGATCAGTTATCGGATGGAAGGGTCCTGTTCGTAAAACGTAATCCGTATTCAGCGCAATATTATTTACCCAATGAGCATGTCCAGAAAAGGTTCGGCATAGAATTCCATCATCCGCCCGCCACATCTTTACTGTACGATCTTTGGACGAAGTGTATATAAGACCAGATCCACCCCATCTTACAGCGGTTACTGAACTTGTGTGTCCTGATATATTTAGAACGCAGTGTCCCAACACGGTGTCCCAAATACGGCAATCCCCATCCGTACCGGCACTGGCTAATCGGCGACAATCGGGATTCTGATGATATGGTTCCCAGCTCAAACAATTTATCCATTTCTTATGACCGGTTAAGGTTCGACCGATTTGCTTGCCATTCGTTGGGTCCCATAATACAATATTTCCTGCTTTACATGCGCTTGCTAACTTCTTTCCATCAGGCGACCAAGCAACACACATAACCCATTGTTTGTGTACCGCACATGTGTGATGTGGTGTTTCGGTTGTCAAATCCCATAATCTCACTGTAGTGTCACCTGAGCCACTAGCTAAATGTTCGCCGTCTGGACTAAAGCTAATTGAAATTACAGCTTCTGCATGACCCGGCATAGAGCTTGTACACCGTGTTACTGGTCGAACTTTAAACACAGCTTGGGGTTGATACACAATTTTGATTACATTTTCAGTGTCTATTGAATTTAAATCCAATGCGCTGTTAAGGGTTTTTTTAATCTCTTCTTCACCCACAAAGAATAGATATGGTGTCGGTTCATCATTTTTTAATAACGCATTACAAATAAGACCCAGCTGCTCCACGGTGACACTAAGAGGTAAATCGATTGGGGGACCTGCCTCTTCTCCCGTATCTGATACGAGTCGTGCTTGTACAGTACGTCCATCGTCCACTTGCGTTACTTCCTCTATTTTTTGTCGTTTGGACATATTTTTTAAAACAATCAAATTGTACTTTTGGTATTTGTGGATGGAGTGATTGTCAACAACAAACAAACACGTGCCGGTGGACTCAAAACATCGTTGCCACATAATCTTATTCACATAGGTACATTTTAGCAGTGCTATTAGGGTGCGCTTATGTGATACATGTATCATGTTAAAAATCACATAAGCGATATAGTACCCCCTAAAGACGTTATCTTAAAACTGATTTATTTGAATGATTTCTTAAATGTGTAAACGTTAGATTAGTAGTTAGACATTCCCCATATTGCTTCTAGAAAGCATGAAATTTTTAATAATTGTAAATGAAAATAACTAACTAAACACTATATACATGAGATTTACTTGTGTAAGGGCATTTGTAAAACAAAAAGTGAGAAATTAAAGTAAAAAGAAAAACAAAAATAGATGTTAGGATAATTTATTGCCTAAATAAAGTCAAATACATAAAAATTCAATATAAATCATTATCATCTTTATTCTGGCAAATGTTTACCTATTGAGGAACGAATGTCAAATGAATCTATAATGGATCTATTCGAATCGTGTATGGTGAAAATATTTCTTACTGATCGAAAATAAAAGCGTGTCGTGTATGGCTACTTTAAGGGATGTACTAGCTCGAAATAAAAAATGTAGCCTTTTTTGGTGCAGCTTTAAAATCATAGTCTACATATTTTTTATTATTTGAGGTTATTATAGAGTTTCGTAAAGAATGTTAGTAAACCAAATTTTTAATTATACTATGTTTACGTCAGGAATTGACTGCGCTCTGCACCATATATTTGACTTGTTTGTAAATATTAACATATGATTAGTAAAATTTTGTGGCCATATTATATTTTAGAATTACTGTAATTTTGAATAAATAAGATGGTAAATACAAATTTCATCCAAAAACTAATTATATATATTAAGGTAATAGATTACCGCCTATTATTTCAGTATGAAAAATAATCGGATGTATATATGCCTTTATGAAACTATCAAAATTGTGTCATCGTCCATCAAATAGATGTGTGCCACTTTGTCCGTAGCGATTAAACAATTATCAATCTTTAATTGAACAAACTCATTTTTGCATCAACTGAACGGTCACAATATGATTGATTTGCTGTTGTATTAAGAGTTATATTAAAGACGTTTTTATTTAATTTGTATTTCACAAAAGAATAAAATGGAAAAAAGCGAATATGAAATACAACATTTCAATTTCTCTGTGGAACAGTTTTCGTTAGAAAGTAAGTATATCCATCTACAAAATAAACTAAAGTCATATCAAACAACTATTGGCAGGGCGCCATTATTTGAATAAGATATTATCGCTAACACTTCAATCAATGGTGAACAAGTTATCCATGGGTAATGAAGATACAACAGTATTTTTACTAGAGCAGAAAGAAAAAGTGAAAAGCAAAATGCTTAGTGACATGGAACAACAACTCACAGCTATTGAGGAAATGGACTTAAAGAATTTTTCGATACCGGATTATGTTCTGTTGGCAACAGATTACGATCATTCCAAGCAATATACTGAAGAAGACGAAGCGAATGTAGACAAAAAGTTAGCAGACATGAAACAAAAGTTTCTGGAGGTGAGCTGGATATTGGTTTCCCTTAAAATATTGTTGTGAATTTCTCCTTTCTCCTAATAGAACTCTGTAATGATAGCGTCGTTGAAAATAGAAAATGCAAAATATGAAGAAATATGCACAGAGATGAACAATGAAGAGAAATTGTTAGCACAAATTCAAACGGCATTGCAAGTAATGGAGACCCAATGGGAGAAGGTAAAGCATTTGGCTAAAACAACTGAAAGTTTAGAAGATTAGAAGAGGTATTTGTAATTAGTGATATTTGTTGGTGATTAAATTCGCAAATAAGAAAGAAATTCATGATAAATAAAATAAATATTTTTTGAATTCAAAATCTGAAAATAATTGTTCTACGATAGTAGTAATGCCTTCCATTAAATTGCTATAAATATAAATATGTAGGAACAGGTGGTAGAAAACATTGCTCAACAAGTTTTGGAAATGTTGCCGTCCGTCCCGATTGTGGGAATTTTTATTTTTTTTATGTCTAGCCAGGTCGATCTGATTAACATAGAAACGACTGGGGTGGGAAGATTTTCAACAAGAAACATAATATTTTCAAGAAAATTAAGTGTTTTCTGTAAATTTTTCTACAAGAATGCATTTACTGTGGTTATTTCCATGAGGATTATGCGAGCATTTATCTAAAGTTAGAAACCATCCATACTCGTATACAAGACATGTCAAATTCTCACATTGCAATTGCATATTACTCAAACAAAACGTCTTCTTTCACTTTTCTACTGTGAGCACATTAAAATGTATATTTTTGTTGCATATTTCTACCCACTCTATCCCATGTTGCGGTGCACTTTTTGTCAGTCCTTCTGTTTCTTTAGTCTCAAACAGCCACAATATGTAATAAGCTGTGTGGTTAATGGCGAGAATGGCTAATGTGCTCCGTTCTTGGTGGGGTTTATGTTTATTTTTAAGCGCACAACGATACGATGTGTGAATGTCTGCTATGTGATGTGAGAATTTTTTATATCTTTTGCAAAGAAATTTGCGATATTAATATACCTGCTACTCTGATGCAGATGTATTGCTCGGCAACAATTGCCGAACTGTGTATGTAGGAATGCAAAATTCGAAATGTTCGACCATTTGCATGCTTGGGCCTTGGGTTTGGCTGAATAGTCGTAGATACCGCAGTCGTTGTTGCAGCCACGAGTTTTACAGCAGCAGAATAATATTTTTGGTGTGAGGGTAAGATTGGAAGAAAAAAATTCAGATTTTATGTAATTCCTAATTAAAAGTAGGAGTTTTCAGGTTGTATTAACTTGATTAAATTGCGAAAATTGCATTGATATAAGATGAATGTGGAAAAATTGAGGCGACTGCAATCACAAGTGCGGATAGGAGGTAAGGGTACAGCTCGTCGTAAGAAGAAGGTTATGCACCAGACTGCCACTACGGATGATAAAAAGTTGCAGAGTTCTTTAAAAAAGTTATCCGTTAGTACCATACCGGGGATTGAGGAAGTGAACATAATCAAAGACGATCTAACCGTTATTCATTTTAATAACCCAAAAGCGCAAGCATCTCTCTCTGCAAATACCTTTGCTGTTACCGGACATGGAGAGACAAAGAAAATTGTAGAAATGTTGCCGGAGATATTGCCACAGCTGGGTCAAGAGACGGTGGTGCAGCTGCGCATGTTCGCTAATTCAATGACGGGTGCAAAGAAATCGGCGGGAACTATGGGCGGTAGTGATGCGACTGCGAGTACAAATATGCTTTATAGCGTTGTAGAGGAAGATGATGTACCGATGTTGGTGAGTGACTTCGATGAGGTGGCTAAAATAGAGGCAATGAAAGTGGGAGAGCAAACAAATACTACTAACGAACAACCGGCACTTGAAAAAACCGAGACCAAAGGAGAATCGACAGCAGTGTTGTCACCCTTATCGGAAGCTAAGAGTAATGCAATGGGAAACAATGTACAACCGTTGGAAAGTTTAAATTTAAATGTAAAATCAAGCGAAAAGTCGGAAATACACAACGAAAATGAAAATAATTTAAAAAACCAGGAAATAAATACAGAAAAAGAAAACTTAAATAGAACTGATCAGCCAGATGTTAAATCAACAAATGATGTAGAAAAAACAAAAGAGGCGCAGAAGAAGAATGACAATAAATCACAACAAAAACAGGAACCGTCCAGACAAAAATCGAGGCCTGAAGGTAAGAGTCAAAAACCCTCGAAAGATAATAAGAAACCTGATATTATTGCTTCGAAAACTACAACTTTAAAATCAGACGACAACAGAGAAATTGACAAATCCAGTAAAGATGATGTTGTAAATGATGTCATCGAGTCGGTAAAGTCAGTACAAATAATTGAAAAATCAAAAAATTTAAAAGATAATAAGGATAATCAGCAGACAAAACAATTACAGCAAAAATCAGCGAAGCAAGAACTACCAGCTACGCCAAAGGGGAAAGAAAAACAACAAGGACCATTTGTCGATAATCAAGAGAAGAAGACTAAGCAAGACTTAAACCCACAGCAAAAACAAGTAGGTCTAAAAGAAAACGAAGACAAAAAGATTGCAAAACAAGATGAAAGTCAACAAACGAAAACGTCTTTAGATTCAATAGAACTAGTAAAGATTGAGCAACATCCAGACGATCAGAAGCAGACACAAAAACTTCCCCAGCAACAACATCAACAGAATGAGTCGCCAATAAAACAAAAAAATAAACAGCCACAGCAAAAACCACAAAATCAAGACAACCAGAAAAAAACGGATGCTGAGAAAGGATTGAAAAAAGCAGAACCTCTGCCGAAATCAGGTAAGCAGGACGGAAAACAAATATTAAAATCGTCAAAAGAAAGGCCCACTGACAATAATACTGAAACAAAAAAGACAAGCAATGAAAAACAATCTGAAGGCGCTAAACGAAATCTAAAAGAAACGTCACCGAATCAAAAACAAGCAAAGGAAGTTTTGGCAGATGTTGGAAAAGAATCTAAAAAAGACGAACCTCCTCCAGAATCAGCTAAGCAAGACGGGACTCAGCAACAGCAATCTGATTCTCTAGCTAAAGATAATGAAGAGCGGAAGCCTCTCAAAAGTCAGCATGAAATTGTAAAAGAAGAGGTAGATAAGCAAAAACCAGAAACTCAAGTTGAAAAAACCAACAAAGATAATGTAGGCATTATCGAAACCGGAAAGCGAGCTGAAACGGATACACATCTAGCAGACGTATCCATAAAAACTGTTGCTTTACAATCATTAGAATCTAGCGAGAAAATGATGCAGATAGTTAATGAAATTACCAAAGATCTTCTGATAGAAAATTTAAACAACCTGCCAGAGAAAATTATTAAAGAAGACTCCCTACCTGACCTTCCATCTGACCAACAGGAGGCGGTAGAAAAAGCATTTAAATCGGTGCTAACTGAGGAACTACGAGCTACAAACAGATCTGTTGAAGAAACACAAGAGAGAGAGTTAAATAACGACAACATAAAATCCAAAAGTCCATTGTCTAAAACAAGCTTGGAAGTTGGTCAAGATCTTGGTATTAATGTAGATTCATTAAACAAAGATTCAGACGAGAAGGGTGTTATTATTGGTAAAGAACAATTATCGAGTGTTGTTAAGGAGATTGTTGCAGACAGTCCATCAATCATGGATACAATTCTTCCGAAAGTAAACGAAAACAATGAAAAATGTATGGCATTAGTGGAACAGATCCCTAATGCGCAGATACTTCAATCACAACATATAGCTACGCCAGAGGGCGACACTTTTGGTGAAAAATTGGCGAAACAGCCTTCATTGGCTGAGATAGTACAGTCACTGCCACCGGCAATACCTTTGCCCACGTCGCAAATACCTGCCAATAATAATAATAGGATCGATGATGCGAATAATGACAAATTAATTGCTGTAGATTCGGCAAACAAACAGCCATCAATGGCCGAAATACTACAGTCGCAACTCCCAACAATACTACCGGCTGCAGCTTTACCCTCACCAAACAATACCATAACTGGCGAAATGAAGGATATTCATATATCACAGATATTGAATAGAGAAGATGTAAAAGAATTACAATTAGATTCAAACGCTACTGTTAAAGAGGAGAAGTCGTGCCAACCGCAAGACCAAGAATCCATTACCCCCGAACTATCAACATCATCCATTGGCGATGTATCAGCACAGCGTCAAATTTCTGACGAAAAACCGGCGCCCATATCAATAAGCTCCAAACCAAAGACATCACCACCAAAACAGACCACAAACATTAAGAACTCGAACGAGACTACGAAACAACAGTCAAAGCCATCTACAGCAAGCGATGCTAAATTAAAATTGGTAACGAAGCCGCAACCGGGGCAACAGCTTCAACAACAACAAACATCGAAAGTTAAATCAAAGCCAGCGAATAACAATAAATCTACACCAACGACCCCAACAACCCCAAACACTCCGTCGAAGATATCACCCGAAAAAGGAGCAATAGACAACCAGAAATCAATAATTCCCGCTACAAAGGCGGCTCCGGATTCAGCAGCAAAAAAGGCAAACTCACCGCAAAAACAACAACGAACAGATACAGCAGCAAAATCTAAGTCAACAGCGGTAGCAAGTACAAAACCTGCCCGCCCTAATACTGGTACTACCGGCACTTCTAAGAAGGCAAACACACCGCCAGCAGCAAGTAAAACAAATGCAAACACTGGTGGAAAACAGCAGGAAATTAACGTGAAAGGTACGGCGGCCGGTACGCAAACAAAATCAACAACGCCGCCAATCTCGTCACCAACAATAGAAAATACTGCTACATTGAACAAACCATCCGTTTCGAAATAATAAAACTTCTCCCCCAATATGATGAGAAGTTTTAGCTGAGTTTAATTATGTTGCATTGTTCTTACTTTCATTCATGCTTTTATGAATTACTCTCAATGAATATTTTAACTTGCTATTGCATTTGCATTTTGTTAATTTCTATTTGTTCAAAGATCGTCTGATGGTTCATTCATGATCATTAGTTTTTTTTATTCATTCTTAAAAAGTCTTTTAACATATTATACTAACCTGCTCTCATTGACGCCTTTACATCATATATACAATATTCATACTAATATGTTCATGCTAATACATTTTTCACAACTAACACCGTTTTAAAGTTAGCGTTTCTTAAAATAAAAACAAGAAAATGTTTCAGTGGATATACAATGCAAGAAGGAAGCATATAGTTTTCAAATAGATGCCTCATTTATTTGATATTTGGACATCGGTTTAGATTTATTCTTGGTTGTTTATAGTTTGCTTAGTTTTAAGTGTTGTAAAGAACCAAAGTGTAATCCTAAATTCATAAATAAAAATAAATTGTATTACTGAAACTAATTTTATTGTTTATGCTTATAAATTTTCAAGTTCCTCATATATTTGAATGGGAAGATTTCATTGAATTTTAAAAATGTGAACACTCAAAAGATATAACCGCTTAGTGTTTTTTATGTGATAATCAGAAACTAACCGTTGGAATCAAAATTATTAACGGCCTAAACTCAAGAGCAGGTACATATGTGCATTCATACATGTGTATGTACAAACTATAATTATAATAATAAAACTGATAAACATTGGAAGTATATACATATGTGCTTATGATGTACATAGATTTCTTAAATTTTTTTTTCTTTATTGCTTTGAGTTTATTCAAAACTGTAAAAAATAGAGAAATTAGTGCCGTATATAGAAATGCCGAACTTGAACTATACTCATTGCAGGAGAAAATAAGAGCATATGCTAAACAGCTCTTTGATAAATTTATTAATAATATTAACCAGTTTATCAACCGGGAAAACGCTATTGAGATTATATGCGATAAGTTTGTAAGTGTCAACATATGTATGTATGTATGTATGTATGTATGGTCGTTTGAAATCAAAGCAAAAAAGGTGCGTCCGCTGTCACGTAGAGTTGTTCATTTATATACATATGCTATAAACATATATATTTATGTATATACACAACTAAGTCGTCATAGGAAGAGCGAGAACCGAGAGTTTGCAAATGTTTATCAGGTGGAGGAAGGTGGCGGTGGGCTCGTAGAAATATCAGTACGACAATCCACCGCGTGAAGTATTCAACCGACAGCTGATAGTTTAGTTCATTTCGGCAATTCGTAAAGAAAAGCAGCTAAAGAAACCAGCGGCTAAATTCTAAAAATTTAAAAAAAAAGTGTCAAATAAAACAAAAATATTTCATAAAACTACAGAAATATGAGTGATTGGTTAAAAATCATAGGCGCAGTTGTGCTTCCAAACGTTGGTGGTGTCATCAACGGCATAATAACGCGAAAAAATATACAAACATGGTACAAGAATCTAAATTTTCCATCATACCGGCCGCCAAACTGGATATTTGGACCGGTCTGGACATCGCTTTATTCAGGTATGGGCTATGCTTCATACCTAGTGTGGCGTGATGGTGGTGGCTTTACCGGTGAGGCGCAGTTACCGCTCATTGCCTACGGTACACAGTTGGCACTCAACTGGGCATGGACTCCAATTTTCTTTGGATATCGTAATATCAAAGGCGTAAGTTGCGTAACGTTTAAAATGAAGTATTAAAAAGTCTAACTGACTAATAACGTGTTCTAGAACTGTACTGTGCCTATCACTAATTACAAATGCGCATATATTTGTAGTTTCTATTTCTACATATTTGCATGTGCGAAGAGCACTGTACAGTTCAAAAAAATGTTTACTAAAAGTCTGTACCCATTATTAATAATTTTCAAAGCTAAAATATGTATGTATTTACGTGTTTGTCTCTTTTTAACTAGGGGCTCATCGATATTATTGCGTTGACCGCAACATCCACAGCCTGTGGCATACTTTTCTATAGGGTTAATAAAGTGGCTGGTCTTTTGTTCGTTCCGTACATTGCTTGGCTGAGCTTCGCAACAGTACTCAATCATGCCATGTACAAATTGAATCCTGACAGTAAGGCTGTGACGGCTCCAGACACTGAGGAGAAAAAGGGTCAGTAAAATAATCAAAACACACTGGATAACTGCACTTTATTGCATATGCATATTGTATTAAAATTGTTTTAAAGCAAATGAGTATGTACATTCATAGATGTTGTATGATGTCATTTTACCGCTGCCTCTACCGCTGCAATCATGGCAACATCGCTCCTTAACTATGATGCATTTAATGCAGTACACATGTTCCACAACCTTAAATAAATAATTAAACTATTCAAATATGAAATAATAGTTATAAACATGTTAAGAGATCGATGTCAATTTGTATTAAGAGAATCTATATGCCCACAATCTCAAAATAATTCCAGTACTTTTTTATATCTTTGTTTTACACACAAGTTGCCTAAAAAATCGTACTAATGCCTGTGGCATAATGCTATGTGGGTTATGTTATAAATATTAAGCAAGGAATGTTAAAGGAATAAAATTGTATAAAGCTCAAAAATCGCTTAATTTTGTGAAAATGTGTTAATAAAAGATAAATAGTTCAAAAATCAAAAATCTGTTTAGCCTTTTATTAATTCTTCTTTTTTTCTAGTAGTCATATAAGATGAATCTTGGTGTTAACCGGCCAATGGGTATTTGCTTCACTAAAGATGCATTTGAACGGTTAGGTAATAGCGATTACGGTATTTTTCCAAATTTACAAATTTTTAACGCACGAAAAATCTTTTGGTAAACAAGTGGAGTTGGGTACACTATCGCTACCATAACTGCAAATTCTGACATTTAATTTTTATCGAGTAATTTCATTGAAAAAAAATATACTTTATAAATATATATAAATTTATAAGGAGCTCTTTCAAAATGAACGTTATTCTCCGTAATATAACATGTACGTACATACATTAATATACAATAATATGAGTACATATGAGACATGAAAGGATGAAGTGAAGAATATTCTTTCGAATTTCGGTCTTCTTTGGAAAGTTTTGAAAATAATTGTTAATTTATTTACAATAAATGGTAAACTATATAGATATGTAGGTATTTGGTAACTATGGACGATGCAAACCTTTAGAAAAGTTTTTCCATATGCATATATGTATTGTAAGTGCGTGCATATTTACTTATATGATTTTGCATTCCCTGGGCCATTACGTTTCAAATCGAAGTAAGTTTCGAATTAACGATATTCGATTGTTTTTTTTTGAAACGGTAGCTGATGGTGAAGAATATGAGGAAACGGAAATTATGATAGCTGTGTGCACATAACCATAAATTTACCATGTTTTCACTAAAAGCTTTAACATACTACAATTGTACGTATGTAAGTACATATGCACATATCTGTTTTGCAATTACACACCGATAATCATTTGGTAATCACCCACTGCTTAACTGCGTGTACGGAAAAATTTTAAAATCAAAACCATTTAAAAGCGGTAATTATCAAAAACCACACCTACACACATACCCATTTCTATGGGCAAAACATGATTGCATTTCAAAAAATAAAAAATACATTAAATAAATGTGTGTGCTTTAAGGCTTAAATACTAGATAACATGCATAAGTGATAAATGACGTGGCTGATTATACATACATACATATGTACATATGTATGTGCATGGGTACACTATAGTTTGTGTCTGTTTTATTGTAATAACTATTTTTATCTATATTTCCAGGAATAGGAAATGTGCGACATTTGTTTATATGTATGCAAATGCTGTACATACATGCATATGCATATATGTATATAATATATGATTTCTTGTAAATATGAGCTTTGTAGATACTACATCTACAGCAATTGGCTCAGTTCTGGTGAAATATAATACTAAACTCAAATGGGTCGATCACTTCTCAACCAGGAATGTGAAAATTTGCATATAAATATGTAAATATGATATTTATTTATTTATTTTATTTATGTTAGACGGGGTCGCGAATTCTATGTTTAAAAAATTTTGGATTAATATTTCAATTTTAATTTTTTAATTGCGACGTTTTAAATTTGAATGTAAGTTTGTGGATCAGTGCTCTTGAATATTGAAGATAATGGTTCTGTGCGTATTCCAGTTCAAAATAGTAGAATATGAAGAACGCAGAAGCGAAAAAATATTATAGGTAAAACAATTTATTTTTTTAATTCTTAATTATATGCTTGGGATTAACATTTTTCTTTCTAATTTTTAGTAGAAAATTGCAGGAAATATTAGTTATAATTCAATACATTTACGTACTTTAGCAGACAAGCTGAATTAACGATAAAACATTTTGATAGATTTTCATATATTTCACTTTATTTATTAACCGTATTAAACTGATTTCAGAATATGTAATTGTAATCCTAAATACGGGATTACAAAATAAAAATATTATATTTGATTCAAATGATAATGTAATTATTTTTTAATGCATTATTTGCAACCCTGATGCTGGACCATTCAAAAATACGCTCATAAATTTGTATATACTAGTTAGATACTTACGTAAATTTTAAGTGTTTAAATGAATTCTATATTTATTACACATATACATACATACATATGTGTGTAACAATGAAAGTGTGTTTAAATGCTAATTAAAACCCACTTAAAACTCTGAGCGTTCATTTGTAATTTTAATGCACAATTCTCAACAGTTGTATATGTACATAAAAATTGTAAATCCATATTAATATTATATAAATAATATATAAAATATCCCAGTTATAAATGTCTGTTACGCTTTCACGCCGAAATCACTTAACCGATCATCATGAAACTTTGTACAGTTTCGGTCCAACCAAGGACTGTCAACTCGGCTTTCTTCAGATTAGTTAAAGGATATTTTCTGCCGCTTCAACAACAACAGCTTTGTACCGGTTAATTGGTTTCCTCGCATTATTGGTTAAACATATGTGTTATTGAAAACAATATACCTTTAATTTAAGTATCAGTATACAATATCATTGTATACAATATATTTATATGTTTTATTGTGAAAAAAATATTTATTTTGGAGGATCATATCTGTTTGTAATATAAATTTTAAAACTGAAAATAAATTTGTTTTGTCTGATATGATAATTTGTTGAAAAATTTAGAAATGTACATAATGAAACGAAAATGCTTCAAAAGCGTAATTTAAAAAAAACGGGGTTTTCTGGTTTTCACCACCACCATGAATATGATCATCGCGGTAAAGTATTCGTGTACATACTATGAATTTAGTAATTTGTTTTTGTTATCTTTAATCTTTAATATTTATTTAATGGATTCAATGCGAGTGGAGCCGCGGGAACAATAAATATCTATGAAATTATTCATACTATTAATTTGAATAAAGTTCCGCACTTAAAGTAATACGCACGATATACAATTGATAGATCCATTTTTTTCATTTTCTTTATACTGAAAAAACAACTTCCAAATACCCTAAGGACCAAATGAATTGTTTTAGAGAGATTAAGTTATAAGTAAAAAAGTAATTTCTCCATTTTTCGAATTTAGCCTTGAAAATCGAAATATTTGCGTTCATCCATATTTATAGTATGTTTGTTACTAGATAAGTAAAAATATGGCCATCATCGTTCCCCTTATTCCAATGGTGTATAATATTTAAAATATTTTTTTTTGTCAGGCCTATATGATAGGTGCTATAAGCAGAGTTGGATCTTCGAAAAAATAAATCATTTACATTCAAAAAATACTGGATACATTTTTGAAAATTTAATACTATGTAATAGTGACGAAGCGGATTTTTCATTTATATATTTATATTACCTATACATTAATTTGTATATTTTTAATAAAATTTGTATTCAAAATCGGGATAAGTCAACTTGTGTCAAATTATTTTAGGTTTTGATATCTTTAAACTTTTTTTGTAACTTGATAACGATTAAAATTGAACTCTAGCTGGCTTTCAATCAAATCTAATTTAGTTGCTGTGTTTTTGCATCAACAGTTATTTTTTAAAACGAAATCGTGTTTTAGACTAGGCATTTGATGTTTTTATTTGCATTACATTTACCATAAGCAAGATTATCTACATATGTCAGTGAATTTTATTTAGACAAAGACAAAGAAACCTTATATATAATATGATAATATAAAGTAAAGACATACCATTTGAATGTACTGTTTGTGCGACTACTTAACCTCAAACTGAAGCAACGAATCTAACCTTAAAAAATATCTGAAAAATCTGCGGTTTCAAAGTCATTTTGTTTAAAGTTTTAAGTAGTTGTAATAAATCTTTGCATATTATAAATATTACTGATAGAAAAAAATTTCATTTAAAAATACTTGTTTCGTAAAAATACCTTAAATAAGAATGTGATATAATTGTGGTTATCACTTAAAAGGTTTAATATATACAAAGCTGTTGTATATAGCGCCAGCTCTTCTTATTGAGTTTCCAACTATCGTGCATTCCTATTTGTTTTCCTTTCATTTGAAAGCACAGAAGTTCCATGGCAACCGCATTTGTTTGGTTCTATGAGTTTTGTTCCATTAATATCCAACTAGCCACCGAAGGGAATAAAATTTATGTGTAAATACTCGTAATGACGCTTTACTTCGACACTAAAGTTGAATTTCTGGACTCCGATGCGGTTAGCACCATCGGAAATTGGCACCTCACCGAACCACTATTTGCTGTAGCTTCCTACAGCCAGGAACGTGGCGGATCTATAACAATTTTCACAGATTCGGTGAGTATACATATCGATTTACAGTTTTATTGCAATATTACGTATCAATTATATTATAGGGAGAACCTCAACGCGATGTCACCTATCCGGTACATCCGACTTCGCAGGTGTCAGCGCTAGCCTGGCATCCCGAAAAAGTTTTGTTGGCCACCGGTTGGGAAAATGGTGATATACATGTTTGGTTTGCGGGCCATCGTGAATTCGCTAGTGTTCACGGCCCTCATAAAGCGCCCATAGTGTTGTTGGACTTTAGCGAACAAGGTGGTCGCATGGTTACCGCCGATTCGATGGGTCTGCTCACGGGTTGGCGTTGCGATGGCCAGTATCAATTTTTAACAATGTTTTCACATGATTTGCGTGATGTGCTGCTGCATATCACCTTTCGACGGACCATTGAGAGTGAGGTGCGTGAGGAAATAGTAAATTTAGCCAAAGCGGCTGTAGCAGGCGATGATGCGGCACTCGATACGCTTACCAATTGGCGACCGCGGACAGCGGCGAGGAGTATGATTCACGCTGGAGTCAAAGATAACCACTGTTTCTATGTGGGTACGCAAAATGGTGTAATGTACTACATAAATCAGGGTGGCGCCTGTACAGAGGTCCTCAAAAATAATACCGTGCCCATCATGCAAATGCTGTGGCACCCGAAAAAGTGAGATTTCCTTTTAAAAGTCGTTACATGCATGTTTGCTAGATTATCTTAATATATTTATTTTAGGGATGCCGTTATTTGCTTGATGGAGGACATGACAATTGCTTTGTATTTGGTAGAGTCGACGGGTATATTAACTGAG